ACCGAAGCGCCCCACCCCACCACAGTTGTAGCACCCTTCCCCCCCGGCTCCACGACCAACGCTTCCATGGCTGTTTCCGCCGCCGGTACGGCAGTCCTTAGCCATGTGACCGACCTCGCCGCAATTGAAGCAACCCGGACCGCCACCGCGACGACCGCCATTCCCGCGAGAGCTGCTTTCCTTCTTGTTGAGCGGAGCTCCACCGGGTGCGGTGACGTCGACGGCCTTGGTCTTGCCATCGCTGCCCTGCGTGACTGCGAACTCCACCGTCTCGCCCACCGTCAGGGTCCGGAAACTGTTGGAGACGATGGAGGACTGATGAACGAAAAGCTCTTCGCCGCCGTCATCGGGAGTGATGAAGCCATACCCTTTTACGTCGTTGAACCAGTGAACCTTCCCGGTGGATCTCACCGCCGATTGCTCCTCCTGCGCCATCGGATCAACACAAGTAAAAAATAAAAGCCTTTCGCCAAGAGAGAGATTGGGTAATTAGGGTTTAGTGGGGGCAGTCCGTCGATACGGATTTGCACGCTATATATAGATAGAGATAGAGACTGATGTGAAGGGGCGTGAAAGGAAAAAACCCTAGTCTTGAGAGGGAATCAAACCCTAAATCTTCCGAATTAGGGGTTTGGGAATTTGGGAAAAAATCCGCTTCTTTCCTGAGTTATCAGGTGTGCTCGTCACCACGGTAACTATTTCTCTTATTGGGCATCTCTCAGAATCTGGCATATTCCTGGACTTAAACGTGGAGCCCACATATATTTTTAAATCAGGCCCAATTATTAATGTTTCGGCCATGGACAATTCTCATAAATTCAACGAAATATATATATATATATATATATATATATATATATATTATATTGCACTATCGGACTAAAACATTATTTCATCCGTAAAACCCCTAAAAAAAACCTCCAACTTAAAAAAATATATACAAATAAATCTTCAACTTGAAAAATTATCATTTAATCCCCGAACTTGTAACTTGTCACTGAATACAACATTGAACTTACAAATTATTTCTCTAATAAACCTTTAACCGGTTTGACCACAATTTCAAACGATCGGAAATCTACGTATTGACGGATTTCTGATATCATTTTTTAAACTAAAATTGATAACATGTATAAGATGACATCAGCAATCCGTTAATACGTGGATTTCCGATCACCTGAAATTGTGGTCAAACTGGTTAAAAGGTTTATTAGAGCAATAATTTGTAAGTTCGAGGTTTTATTCAGTGACAAATTACAAGTATGGGGATTGAATGATAATTTTTCAAGTTTAAAGTTTATTTGTATATATTTTTACAAGTTGGAGGTTTTTTTAGGGACTTTACCCTCATTAAAAATAGTTAAACATCTCACACTGCCAATATATATATAATATGCACAAAACAAAATAAGACACCAAATTTTCTTGAAAAAAAAAAAACAGAAAACATAAGTATTGGAAGAAGGTGTGTACAGTTGAAACCAAAGAAAAAAAATAAAATAAAGAATCCTGTTTTATACACGAAAAAACTACACAGAAACAAAATAACTCATCATCAGACAAATTCCCCAAAAAAAAAAAAAGAGGAGAGAAAAGAATATGATCAGTGAAGAAAGATCATCTGGACTGATAAAGCTCGAGCCTGCTCTTGGCTTCCGACAACAAGCTCTCGACATCATCGTCTTCCGTAACGTCGGATTGCTTCGACGCCCATTCCAGCACCGTCAAAACCTCGTCCTTTGCCAGCTCTTCGCTGTCGGGAGCGTTCATGGCCACGTAGCTCAGCAGAACCAGCGCCGGAATCTGAGCTCCTTCCCCTAGATACGCCAGCTGAACCAGATGCTTCCCTACTCCTGCACCGATGATCGTCCTCGAATGTTCCTTGCACAAAAAGTTATCCTCCGACACGAATTTCGTCAGCGCGATCGCCGCTTCCGCTGCTACATCTGGCTCCCTGTCTCCGTCCAGGAGCTTCACGAGCGGAATAATCATCTGGGTCTCCGCCGATTTGAATGTCCGAGCGAGATTTCCGAATGACTTGATGCAGGGGATGAGTAGCTCAGATTCCGAGTCGGCGGTGTCAACGATCCAGAAGAGCTGGTCGACTACCGCCTTGCACGCCGGTGAGGTCCGTCGGAAAGCCGAGCGTCTCAGATCGGCGTTTTGCTCTGCAACCGCCGTGATCTCCATTACAGCCATGGCCGAGTTGTACTTGGTTTCTTGGTCGCCTTTCTCCAGAAGAACGGCGAAGCAGAGCAAGGCTCGCGACTCGGTGATGACGTGGCAGATGGAGGCGTTGGCCGAGGCGAGTTTCCATAACGCTCTCGCCGCCATTGCCTTCATGTGGGACTTCGTCACTGGATCTTCGAGCTCTCTCCCTCTCGTTGCAGACGCGTTCCGCGATTGCAGGAACTTGTAATAGGTCTTCATCCCGTTCTCGGCATTGATGCTGTTGCTCTTCTCTGGCTTCTCTGGTGCGGTGAGAGTGAGGTTAGATCCTGCAGATTTCATCGCCATCGTGGTCGTGACCACATCATGCATCTGATTCGGGATCGGACGAGAGATCGGGCTGTGATCATCATCCTCATTGATTCGCATCAACAGATCGTGACTCTGGCTGTTCATCTTGCTGGTTTTGCTCGCCATTACAATGGCGTGGTGCATCGAGGTCGCTCTTCCCGCCACGACAGCGTACTTGCTGTGTTCTTGGACTGTCTCGAAAGCCAAGTGGCTCACGAGTAGCCGGACCACATTGTGCTGTGCGAAGATCTCCTGACATTTCGGATGATTTCCAGCGAGTTCCGACACGGCCCATGCCACTACGGCTTGAACCTTCATCGAACCTTCCTTGAGAATATTCGCAAGCACTTGGCAGACACCCAAATGGACCATCTGCTCCACGCTGTCGGAATCCCGACCCAACAGTCCGATTGCCCGAGCTGCATTCTCCTGCCCCTCGATCTTACCTTCCTTCAACAATCTGAGAAGAGGGTTGACTCCGCCTTCCTCGATGATGAGTCTGCCGTATCGGTCGTTGTCGCGGGCGAGAGAAGCGAGCGAAGCGGCGGCGTCGGACCGGTCTTCCGGTGAACCGGTCATGAGGATCGCGATCTGCTCCCAAATGAGACAGAGTATGGGCTCGTTCGCGGCGATCGGAGGTAGACCCAGGTAGGAATCGCCGTCGCCGAGCTCTCCGGCGGGAGCGGAGACGCGGAGGAGCCAGGAGACGTCGCCGGCGGAGTTCGAGAGCTGCGCCGACATCTTCCGGAACGCAGAGGCGGGGATAATGTTGAAGAGACGCATGATGAAGCCATCGTCGCGGGACCGATTGACCATCGACAGCGCCTTCTCGAGGACCTGCTCTATGTCGTCGATGATTCGGCGCGTGGGACGCTCGTAGAGATCGGAGCTCGCACGCGCCGCCTGACGGAGCAGAGTCGACAGCTTCTCCGTCTTCGACTTGAGCTCGGAGCATTCTTGCTTGTTGATGGTCGCTTCGTCGGCGGTTTTCACCACCTGGTCCGCCAATTGAATCGGCCGAGCCAAGATTTGCTTGACTAAATCACCCATGGCGGCGACAGCAACAACTGGCTCGGAATCGACAAATCGGAAACGCGGGTCGATCTGATTCCTGATCAAAACGTTGAAAAATCTGAGATTTTCCGGGAAAATCTTGCTGGGTTGAGTTCAAACGCGCTTTCGTCATCTCTCTCTCTCCCTGTCTTCTCACAAAACACGCCGGTCGCCGGCTTTCGCTTTCTGGATTACTATCTTATTCGTTATTTTACCGAGTCATAGCCATTTCTTTTTTATTTAATTTTTATATTTCTTCATATCTATATATAATAACCATTTCATTCATAGTCATGATGTATACATACATTGTATACACTATTTGATTTTTAAAATTGCATTTAAAATAGTGAATTACGGGCTGAAGGAAGGATAGAGAATTCATGCCGGAATCCGTCGCCTTCCTCCGCCGCAACGATCAAATCTTCCCGCCACCGGTAAGTGGGGTTTGGTAGTTGGTTCAATCTTCCAGAAGCTAAACGACAGCGTTTTGTCTGGCAGCAGTGACGTGGACGGCTGCGATCTGAGAAAAAAGGTCAACATCATCTACGGTGTATAATACTCTACCACACGGATAATGCATGTACTAGAAGCATTGAATCATTACCTTATACATTAGATAGTGTGGTGGCGCGTGGAGAGCACAAGTTCATGATCTTCTGCCCTTTGTTGCTTTCTTCCTCGTCGGAGTTCCACTACGAGATCGCAGAGAATCTTCCTCCACTGACGAAGAACACAACAAATACAGACAATTCACTGATTTCGCTAGTTTCTGTTGCAATGGATCAGTCGATGAAGAAGAAGGCGAGATGTTCATCTGAATCCGTCACAGTGGATTCGTCAGCTTCCTCTTCACGTCACGATCTCAGGTTTCTTCTAATTCCACCTTTTTCTGTTCCGAATCTGAGCCTGCTTTCCGGTTTTGGCTATGGCGAGGTTTTAGTATGTCGATAAGAGAACGTTCGTTTGGGGTGTCGGATTTGGAGGTTGAAGATGGCCTTTCTGGGTGTAGATCGGTTTGGCTTATCGTTGATCTGTATTGTCCGTTTCTTACAGACAAGGGGCTGATGCTTCGGCTTCGAAGAAGGATCAGTTCCATTCGCGGAAAGTTCAGAAGGCAGACCGAGAGAAGTTACGTAGAGATCGACTCAACGAACAGTTTCTTGAGCTGGGAAATGCAATTGGTATATTTGACATTGCTGCTTTCACTGTTCCATCTTTCAGTTCATAAATTCTCCATGAGATCTGCCCTTTTGGCGGATAGAATTTATTGATGAACATGGTTGGAATCTAAGCAATACGAAAGTTTCCTTCTTTTTTGATGCAGACCCGGACCGACCTAAAAGTGACAAGGCTTCAATTCTCTCCGACACTATTCAAATGTTAAAGGATCTGATGGCCGAAGTCAATAGACTGAAGGCTGAGTACTCCAATCTGTCTGAAGAGTCTCGTGAGGTGATTGTTCTTCCTGCTCTGATTTAGTTCTGTCAGAATCCTATATAATGACCTGATTTAGCTCTCTTTTACCATTACAAGCAGCTAATGCAAGAGAAGAACGAACTGAGAGAGGAAAAAGCATCTCTTAAATCCGATATCATAAGTCTCAATGCTCAGTATCAGCATAGAGTCAGAACTATGGTCCCGTGGGCACAACCCGTAGATCCTTCTCATGTTATCCATCCATCTCTTTACTCGTATCCCTTTCCTGTAGCAATAACTCAGGGTCCGATCTCTGTACACCCTCCACTTCAGCCTTTTCCCTTCTTTGGTACTCAAAATCCTACCGTAATTCCGAATCCCTGCTCGAGTTTAATTCCACATTCAGCTTCTGACAATGCCAGTGCCCCTACCGAACAAGGGTTGGTTCTGCATTCTTTGTCCTCCGATTCTGCAAACAGACAAGACTCCAAAAGCAAGCCTTTAAATCATAGGAAGACCAACCACTCAGACAACTGTGACGATCATAAAGATGTTGCATTAGATCTTGAACTTAAAACTCCTGGCTCTTCCACAGAACAGGTGACCTAGTCTGAACAACCTTTTCCGATGTTTTGCCCGTATGCTATATATAATCATAAACTCGTCAAATTCGTTCGTGCAGGAAAACAAGAGAAACAAAAAGAAGGAAGTTTGATGACCATTTCTGGTTCATCGAGTAGGTGTTCTTCATTTCAAGTTGCTCAAGATAGCACCTTTAGTAGGTAAATGCCTTGTCAAAGTCATAACAACGGAAAAAAGGCGATAACATCTTTCTGCCCACATAGAACAAGACAGTAGCACCATCTTAAGCTTGTCATTCTCTTTCTGATTGATAAGGTACACCAGTTGTAGTTTAGCTAAATTCCACTAGCTGAATGTATCCAGTTCCAATACGAACTCGATGATTAAATATGTATTAGCACAGGTAAAGACAACACCAAAGCCAGCTTCATGATCTGTTCCTACACTAATGGTAATGATTACACTGTTAGAATATAGTTAGAATAATAGCTTCATTTCTTTGCAAGTGACTATAATTGGTGATCAACATGTTACAACAAGAGAACAACTTGTGGAAAACATCGTCAAACCTTACAGAAGCACTGAATGAAAAAGAGCATGGCCACCTGCTCGTCTTTCCGGACCAGACAAGTACTGAGGTATTCAATACACAATCTTCATCCAGCCCCTAATGTACTATTCTGGGTCTGGCAGCAAAAAAAAAGATGGTGAGAATGGTGCTTTTCTATATGGGAGCCGAATCTGTAAAATTGTAGGTTCTCCATCCACTGCAACAATCCGAGTTCCAATCTCTCCTATTGATGAACACATTTAGCAAAGTGTTTACAGCTTCCGAGAAATCTGGTAACCGGGAGGGACTCTAACATTTCTTGGCTTGATGCTTGCAGTTCTCAGAAGCCTCCGGAACTCGTGGATGCTTATTTTTCCATCTTTGTCAATGTCGGCCTCTTCAAGAAGAGGTTCAATGGAGCCTTTCAAGCCCGTATGCTGCAAAGAGAAAATTAAAATTTCATCAACGAGGAAAGGAGAAAAAGGATTCAAACCATAAGACGCGTGCGAAAATATGTACAAGGGAGGCAGGTACTCAACTAGTCGAAGTTCCTCTGGTGTTATAAATCCATCCCTGTCTATGTCGAACTTATCAAATGCAGCTCTTGATCTCTGCTGCCATTTCTCCGAGTCGTGCTCCTCCAACTGATGAACATGCAACGCAGCCGCCACAAACTCGGGGAAATCTACCATCCCATCTGTGTTGCTATCAATCTGCAATAACACGTTCCAGCTTTTAGGTTTACAGCCTATAAAAGCTTGCAGGCACTCTTCCTTAGTTGCTTACCGCATGAAGGATCTCTGTGACTCGCGAATCCTTAAGCTTCCATGGAAGATCTTTCGCCAGAGCCTATCAAGATGAAAAAGCACGATCAAATATTTGCAGATCTGCCCGGCGGGTTTGCTTAATTGTGTGGCAAGTTAATGAAGAGAAGGTGGGTTTCTATTACCTGCCTCATCTCTTCAAGGCTGATGGAACCGTTTTTGTCGACGTCAATTGCATCAAACTGGTCCTTGAGATCAGCCAGCTCTACATCATCAAGTGTACTCGCCAGAGCCTATACCAAGTCGTTTCGTCAAAAATCAAAAGGAAAGAGGAGTCTTCATCTTTTGGGGTTCTCTTCTTACCCTCAGAGCAATTTGCTTGAGACGGCTGAACTTAACGAACTGGCGCATGTTATTGAGGACTGATATGTCAATAGGAATTTCCAAGGCCTCACCTCCTTCTCTCACCCATGGATGAGCTGCAAGAACAATGCAATTCAGAATATCAGAAACAGAACAAGAAGATCGAAATGGTTGTTCATATAATGTTGTCTGGAGGGGACATACATATTGCCTGAGCAGCTGTTAATCTTGCCCGAGGGTCCTTCAGTAGTAACTTCTTCACAAAATCTTTGGCGCTGTGGCTGATGGTTGGCCAGGGTTTTTGCCTGAAGTCAGGCTTGTTCTTCAAGACCTGTTTCAGTGTCGGAAACACTTTGATGAGCATCCGTTCCATGGAAAACATATCGAAGAAAAGGAAAAAAGGTTGTGCAACTCTCTATACACCTCCTTGAATATACCGTCTTCGGTCTTATCCCAGAATGGTCTTCTCCCGCAGAGAAGAATGTAGGTGATGACACCGATACTCCAGACATCGGATTCAGGCCCTGACCTACGTTTCAACACTTCGGGGGCCACGTAATATGCGCTTCCTACTATATCATGGAACTTTTTCCCTGCATTTTAATGGGAAAAAAGACATGGAGGAAAAGCAGAATCAGTTCATCGGGTATGGAGGGTTTTGGTTGAAGAAGATGAATAAGAAGAGAGACTGACCTGGTTTTATGAAGTCTGACAAACCGAAATCCGTAGCCTTAAGAGATGATTTCTCTGATGTCGATTTGAACAGGAAATTCTGCGTGAGAAGACAAGAGGAAAATTTCTCATATGTTCCGGAATGACGAAGAGAGATTAGATTAAAGAGCATCATACCTCGGGCTTCATGTCGCGATGCACCAGACCGTGTAAATGACATTGTGCCGCTACTTTCAGCATCTGCCTCACGACCACTGCCGCATCTTTCTCGCTGTAACGGCTGTCTCTCCTACAGAACATCAACGTAAGTTACCTTCTCTCCTCATCCAATGCAGAAAATGCTTTTGTTAGTAGAACATTGTGCCTTGTAGAGCAAGAAAACATGGGTAGAGACCCTAGGCATGTACAGTAACTCGGTTTTTTCACATGGCTTACTTGGCTAATATTCGATCCAGCAATTCACCTCCTTCGCATAACCTGAAAGAAGCAAAAGCATTTTTGCTTTCTTGCATCGCAAGAAAAGCGTGAAATAGAGAGGAGGAGAGCGGCTTACTCCATAACAATGTAGACGTAGTTTTTGTCCTCGAAGGCGTTGTGAAATTGGACCACGTTTTCATGTCCACCTAAAGCTTTTAGTATCTTCACTTCTCGCTTTACATCTTCAACAGCGATCGGAAG